GCAGAGGAATCATATTGCCCAACAACCTCATTTTGATAATTTAAGTGTTCATCTTGAGGTTGTTTCATGTTGCCCAGACTTTGATACAATGATTGGAGGTAATTGCTGTGTGTTGTGTAATATATTGGATTCTTGTTCATGACAGAGTTTAGTGTTTTGAAGGTTTGGGTGCACAGTGTGTTTTCTAGCATTACTTTAACTTTTGGTCAAAATCTCTTTTATCTGTCTGTCATCTGAGTAGGCTGGTCAGAATGTTGTGATCAGGTCAATGGCAATGAGAAAATCCACTGAAAACCTCAAATCCATGGGTAATGTCCATCCTTTTCAATGCCAGGTTGTTTTGAACAGCTTCTGAATATTTTTAACTTTTACCTTAAGGCAGAGCCGTTTGGTAAGGCAGTGGCAGGTACTGTAAAATAAGGATCTCTTGTTTTCTGCTTCATAATACTTTTTACCCAAGTGCTTTGCCAGCTGTGAGAATGAGCATCAGTTGATCTGGGAGCGCTCTCTGGTGAGTGTGGTTTGCTGCAAAACAACATCATCTCCTTGTGCATTCCTAGACAGTCACTCCGAGCCTGTGAGCTTCTGTGGGTCCTTGTTTGGGGATAACCTAATAACAGCGTCAACAATTCCATTGCCATGCTGGAAAAGAGCAGGACTGGGAAGTATTAACCAGCTGGGATTCCTAGCCTTTCGTGTGGTGGTTGTAGGTAGTTACTGTGCACCAGAAATTCATGGTTTTAGCAATTTTTATTTAATATGAACTGGCAGTTGACATAATTTTAGCACTCCTTAAGTTTTCTGCAGGATGGTAGTCTGATTTGGGATGGGAATAATGGAATAGTCAACATAAAGAGGCAGCAGCATGAAAAAAAACCCATCCACTCTGACAACACAGGGCAGCTGAGTCATACAAATAGATACTGATCCAAAACAGCAGAGCCTTGAAGAAATGCAAGTAAACAAATTTATACAAAACCACTTTTTGAGAAAAAGAAATCCTTTTGGCCACTGGTGTCAAACATGAAATTGAGCCTGTTATTAATTTATCCCCAGTCTGAATTATTGTGCGTCACTTCATTGCAATGCTTCAGCCGTATCTTCAGAGGCACAAAGATTTGTATTTGAAGGGTGGTGCATAAGTTGCATTCATGTCTGGGTCAGTTTGTTTCTTCTGGGGCATTGCATCCTGTCCTGTATTTAATTTACTCTGTGTTTGACTGCTTTGTGCTTGATTTAGGCCTCAGTGGTTTGGGGCTATGTCCCTGGAAATGAGTAGTTGGCAGTCCAGGCACCTCTCAGGTTTCCTGGGTCTCAAGGTGAGCTTGGAACTCTGCAAATCTGAGCCCTAAATAGGTATGCTTTGGCATTTGCAATTTTAAACAAATCTTGATAAGATCAGAATTTATAACAGATGCTGAAATTCCTATGGAGGAGTTTTACATAGATAACTTTATTTAGAAATTAATACCTTCCCATTAGTTTATCTTCTTAATAATAATAAGTGGAATAGGAAGGCAAGGCAATAAGTGTTTCTGATCAGTTGATCTTATCAGGATTTCGTTCTGTCTTTCCAGCTTGCATGTTTGCTGCTGCACTTGGCTCTGCTGGCGATGAGAATCCGCACAGCACAGGCTCCATTCCAGCTCTCCCTTCCTTTTTGCATCTGTCATACAAGATGCTTCCAAATGCAAATTATTTTATCTGTCTGTGAAAGGGAACTGGGAGGTTGTTTTGACTGTATACAGATTTTTGCCTTTTAAATACATCAGTGTTTGTGTAGCTGCTTAGTCTTCTTTGTTTTATCTGTGATTCTTCTGTTGGCTGGGTAGTGCTCCAGCTCTTACATAAGGAAATCTCACTCCTAAGGCGTGTTCCATTAAACCCCAGAAGATGAGCTGCGTCTTCTCAAGGTCCCATGAATAATTTGCAAGGTTTAGCATCTATAATTAAGGGAAGGTCAGCATATTGGCAGTATATAAATTCAAGTTTTAAACCAACAAGACATGGCTCTACACAGCTGACAGCCCATTCATGTTTTGTTTTGTGGAATATTGCAATGTAGAGTCTTGCATTAGGAAATGAGGGTGGGATCTGGGTATGGTATCATAGAATATCCTGAATGGGAAGGGACCTGCAGGGATCAACCAGTCCAGCCCCTGGCCCTGCCCAGAGCCCCCAACAGCCCCAGCCTGGGCATCCCTGGAGCTCTGGCAGCCTCGGGGCCGTGCCCATTGCCTGGGCAGCCTGGGCAGTGCCAGCACCCTCTGGGGGAAGAGCCTTGCCCTGATCTCCAGCCTGAGCTGCCCTGGCCCAGCCCCAGCCGTGCCCTGGCTGCTGTCCCTGTCCCAGAGCAGAGATGGGAGCTGCCCCTCGGGAGGAGCTGCCCACTGCCTTGAGGTCTCCAAGTTTCTCCATGTTTGGACAAACATGTGGAAGGGTTTGGTTCAGAAATAGCCTTTCCCTGTGAGCACAGTCTGACCTGCCCATCTCAGTGCTGGTTGCTCTCCCTCATTCGTATTAAATGCATTTTGCTAAGCAATATCCCATCAACTTAAGACAAGCACAAGAGGCTGGAAATTCTGATAAATAGAAATGTTACAGCTAGCCTGTCTACAACATAAAGAAGCAGAGAACTGAAAAATACCATGAGAAATGGGGGAAGAGTAATTTCTTGAAGTTATATTTAAAAAAAGCGTCTATTTGTTCCTTCATAAAGCAGCTCCTGCTCTTATCCTACCATTGAGCTATGCCGTGAGAGGAGGTCAGTCAAAGTGAAAGCCTCTGGGGTATAAAAAATGAATCATACCAAATAACTCACAGGCTTCAGGCCTCACATTTTAAGCACAAATTGCAGTATTTTTGGTTGCCCAGGGAATCTTGTTAAAAAGTGAGGCAACAGTTTCAAGGAGTTAAAAGCGGAATCAGGATGGTTTTAGTGAGTTTTGTTGCCCATGGAAGTTTTGGATGTGTACAAGTCCCCTCTTGATACACTGATTGATACACTGAAATTATTCCAAACTGAGCAAAAAGGGCATAGTGGTGGCTCTTCCTCTAGGCGCACAGAGTTTTCATATTACTTCCTTAGAATTTAGGACAGTGGATTATTAATGTACCAGGAAGGCTGTGTCAGTGAATGCACTGGGTAGAGCACAGGGCTTTTCCCGGGTCCGGCCCCACTGTTGCATGTGCTACTGGAGATATGATATATGATAAGAACCTGATGTTTTACCTTGATGCCTTCTGACCTCCTGCTCTCCTTAACTCCCTGCTCTCTTTCTCTCTCTCTCTCTGGCCCTTTTTGTGTATCCATTTCTTTTTAGAAAATGAGTGACTTTCTCTCCCAAGAGGATGTGGCTGCAGTGGCAGAGTGGAGCAGTGTTGACACTGGCTTTGCGTGGGAGGGCTCAAGGCAGTTGGTAGTTGTTAGTGAGACTCCAGTGCCACCCGCCTCTCAGCCTTCTGCCAGCTGGCACTTTGGTGCTTCCTCCCTAAGCAGCGAGGAGGAGGAGGAGGAGAAAGAGGAACAGGAGCAGGAGGAGGCGGTTCCCAGCCGCTCCGCCCGCGAGGAGGACCTGACATGTGGAAAGGGGGTTTGTGTGGATGTGGAGAAGGACTCGGAGCTCTCTGAGCTGGAGCCCCAGCCCAGCCCTGCCACACTTCCCCGTCAGCCCTGGGCAGGAGAGGAGGAGGAGGTGGCAGAGGATGGTGAAGACAGCTTTGGCTTTAGAAAGCCACATGGCGAATGTCCCAAGCCAGATGCTCCTAACAGGCTGCTGGAGCTCATTCGCTGCTTCCAGGTAGTGAGCCCAGCTCCTGCCCCCCACACCCCGGCTGCCTTTGGCGTGGGAACCCAAACACTGCAGCAAGCAGGTGCCACAGACCCACATAGGAGTTGGGTGTGCTTGGCTTGGACTCATGCTTGGAGCTAATGAGCCAGTGAATCTCCCAGTCAGTGCAATAAGCCCCCCTCAATTTATCTTTGAATTAAATACGAGCCACTGTCAATTTGTCTTTGCATTAAAAAAGACTCCCTCTCAATTTATCTTTACATGAAATACAGTTGCCACAGTGCAATGCCCTTTGTTCTTCTTGGATTGAAGCATGCTGTGGCATTCCCACGAAAAGGCAATATTTAGGCTCAAAAATTGTGTAATTTTAGCTCCTTAAGGATTTTGCTGGTCCCAGCTGGACTGGCAGCTGACTCTCAGCACAGCAGAGCAAATTTGAGGTGCTGTCCAGTGTGTCCCTTTGTGCTCCCCACTGTGGGAGGGATTGTTGCCTGCTCCAGTGTTCATATTGCTTTTGATTCAACAGATGCCTGTTCCCCGCTAATGATCACAGTGGCATCTGGCAGGGTTGGGGATGGTGGCAGAAATCGAGCCCTCTGGAAAGCACTGGCTCTGAACTCACTCTGTCTTCTTCTGGATAATCATCAGGTGTTGGAACAACTGATTTCTCTCCACCCTTATTTTTCTTCCTGTTTTATCTGACATTGATTTAATAAAAGTTAAAGATCTGATGAGGATTTTTCATAATGCAGTGTTACTCTTGAGGTCAGGATAAAGCTGCTCAACTGTGACAAAGTCCTTGTGTGCCCAGGGCCGGTGTAATCCTGACACTGGCATCACCAGATGAGGGCCATCTTCTCCTAGTAACTGGCAATGAGCTTCTGGTAATTAGAAAGTTAAGAATCAGTGGAGACAGCATCTGTGGTGTTGTGGCACACCCGTTAAACCCTTAATGCCTGGTTTGGGCTGAGCAGAGTCCACGGTGTGGGGAAGGGCTGGAGGATTTTGCTGCCTGTCTAATCCTCGTGCCTGACCGCTGCCCTCGGAGCAGTGTGATGTTCCAGAGACTTAAACCCAAAGATTTCCAGGCTGACCTTGGTTCCCACAGTACTTTTATCAGATCAGTGTCAGAACACTTGCCAGCAGCCCGGTCAGGATGTGGAGATGGGAACTGGCTGTTTACAAGATGTTTTTAACCCTGTCTCACAGCCCCCGCTAGTGAAGACACAGACTGTCACCATCTCTGACGTGTCCAGCGCTGTCAAAAGTGAAATTCCCACAAAGGAAGTCCCCATTGTCCACACAGAGACAAAGACCATCACCTACGAAGCTGCACAGGTAAGGTGTGTTCTGATGAGTTTCCTAGGGGCTTAATTGCTTAATTAAACCCAAGTAAACGTTTTGTTTCCGAATCCTCAGGATGAGACAGCAGCACCTGTCTCTGCATGTCTGGGTGCAGCACAGGCATTAACTGATGCTGTGGACACTATTTCCAGGTGCATCTGGTATTTCTAGAGGAGCAGTGGTTTTGCTATCTCTGAAGAATAATTATCTTTTCAAGATGTGCTTGCAAACAGAGTTTATCTTCAGCCACTGGTGGCTTCAGGATGTGGCTCTCTCTGTACAAAGTTAACCTGAGTTGGCCTTTTTTCTGCAATAAATGCCTTTTCTCGTTTTCCCAGATCTGAAGAGGGTGTTTATGCCTCTTCAGAACTTGGTTTATAAATTATTTGGTCATCCTTAGGTTTCAAGACTGAAATGGTTGTTAAACACTAGATGTTCTGTATAAAATGCAGCCTCAGTGGGTATGTGGTGACTGGAAAGTAAAAATCTTAGTGGAGCAGTATTACAAAGCAGAGGATATGCAGGTATGGATTCATTGCTGAGGTTAAAATTAATCCTCAGTCTAAAACAGAGGATTTTAATCACAGACTGGCAGGATGGTTTGGGGTGGAAGGAGCCTAAGAGTTCACCCAGTTCCAACCCTCTGCTGTGGGCAGGGACACCTTCCTCTGTCCCAGGCTGCTCCAAGCCCTGTCCAGCCTTGGGCACTGCCAGGGATCCAGGGGCAGGCACAGCTTCTCTGGACAACCTGTGCCAGCCCCTGCCCACCCTGCCAGGGAACAATTCCATCCCAGTATCCCATCCAGCCCTGCCCTCTGGCAGTGGAAGCCATTCCCTGTGTCCTGTCCCTCCATGCCTTGTCCCCAGTCCCTCGCTAGCTCTTCTGGAGCCTCTTTAGGCCCTGAAAGGGCTGTAAGGTCTCCCAAGGCCTTCACTTCTCCAGGCTGAACACCCCCATCCCTCCCAGCCTTTCTTCATGTATTTGAAATTTTGGAGCCTGTGTCAGCTTGGCTTTGCCATCACTGTGGTTGTCATCAGCAGCCTGTGCTCTCCTGTTGCAGTGAAGTGGCTGTGGGATGTTGTTATGGATGCAGGAATCCAATGATTGTATAATTTGGGATTCCTAAGGAATGCTGTGGCTGCTCAGCATCCTCCCAGCTGCAGCACCACAGAGATCATTCAGACGGTGGTGGTGAGCATTGCCCTGGCTTTCAGCAAGTGTGTATGGAGGAGTTTTGCTCTAAGTGGGAAATGGAAAGGAAAAGTGATCTCCAGGGCTATGATCAGTTGGCCGTGTGTGCACAGGATGTGATGTGCCATGAGATCTCTGCCACACTGTGGAAAATGGTCCCACCTTGTGGTAATTCCAGATATTGTCCCAATGCTGAGCAGGGACACTGCCCAGTGGGGACATGGACAGCGCAGCCAGGATGAGCTGGCCAGGATGACTTCGTTTGGGATTTTTGGCAGACCTTGAGTGGTTGAGTCGGGCAGGATGAAATCCAAGAACCAGCTCCAAAATTTGTTCCTGTTTCAGCAAACGTCTGGATGTTCTTTGCTTCTGCAGAGCATGAAGTGAGGGATGTGCAAGGTGTTGTCAGGAAGGAGGAAATGTGGCAGTTACCTTCTGAATAAGATTGTGCTCTTGGCTTTGTTGATCTCCATGGATGCAGGCAGGTGGAATTTGGGATCAGTGTCTGTGTTGGTCTCCTGTCATGGTTCAGGCATGGATGGTATGACCAGCACTGCAGGGCCAGCAGCATGCTCAGACTTGGGTATGTCCCAGTGCCCCTGGTCTGAGGGGTGTCACAGGTCCTCCCTGAAGGATCTGTGCTTTTCCAGCCTTTTAAAGCATAGGGACTTTGAGCTTTCAGAGACGTGCCCAGCTCTTGTGCCCCTAGGCACAGGTTGACTTGTGTCTTGTGCACGATGGAGCTGCTGTCCTCAGATTATCCTCTGTCTGGCTCTGGTGATGTGGAGTCTTTGCTTCTGTCCCCACTGCTGAGGGGCTGATGGCCTGTTCTTGTGTCCCACAGACAGATGGCGGCAATGGCGATTTAGACCCTGGCATCCTGCTCACTGCCCAGACCATCACTTCAGAAACCACCAGCAGTACCACCACCACCCAGATCACCAAGGTAACACCAGGGAGCACCACAAAACACCAATTCAACCAACAGCCTGATGGAGAGATGAGCAGGGATGAGTGAGAGGAAAAGAAGTTTTTGGAAGGTCCTTTCAAATACATGATTAGTACATGGAGCAAAGCATGAAGGGTTCAGTCTTGGCTGTGTTAAATCTGTGGATTGTGCATTAATTGCAGCACAGTCTGGACATGGACTCTGACTGTCCTGTGGGGGACAGCAGGAAGAGCTGTCCTGTGAGGAGAAGCTCTTCCCTGGCTCAGCTATAAAAAAATAACTCTTTGACAGTTTTTCCTTGAGCAGCAGCAGTTTCCCCTGTGACTCTAATGCCAGGTACAATTTGGTGACACTATTTTTGGATACCGTCTTTAGACAGGCAGCCCCAGTGAGCTCAAACGCCTCTGCACTTTTACACTAACAGCAGCTTTTCCTTCTGCTCTAGACTGTGAAAGGTGGCATTTCAGAGACACGGATTGAGAAGAGGATTGTCATCACGGGAGATGCAGATGTAGACCATGACCAGGTAGGAGTATGGATATGATCCAAAAGAATTTCCCAGAGCTGGCAAAAATCAGTCAGGCTGCCTGTTCAAAGACAGTGTCACCAAAAAATGAATCTGGGGTAGAGATAAAAGTTCATATTTTTATAAATTGTGGCTGCTCTATCCCTGTAAATGTTCAAGGCCAGGTTGGACAGGGCTTAAAGCAACCTGGTCTAGTGGAAGATGTCCCTGCCCATGGCAGGGGGTTGAATGGGATGAGGGTTTAGATCCATTTCCAACCAAGCCATTCCATGATTCTATATCAGTAATAAATTCCTTTTGACATTAAGCATCTGAGCCAGGAAAGCTGAATTCTATTCTGAAACTGATGAGCAGCAAAGTTTTGATTCCAGAATTGTTTTGGACAGTTTTGTAGGCTTTTTTGAAAGATCCATAAAAATGTGAAATAAAAGTTTTCCTTGACATCTGGCTGATCTGCATTCCTTTTCCCGTAACTTTGAAGCACTATTGCTATTTCGTAGTGCCAGAAGTAATTTCAGAGCACTCAGCACCTCTGTAGCATCTCTTTGGCTTTATATGAAACCTTTCTGATGACTCAGCCTCGTTGGCCTCTTGCATGTGTTGGAAGTGATGATTTTGTCATCAGAGAATTATACTTTGAATTTAAATTTAGACGCAAGTATCATGGGGGTGGAAAATATTCTTATGACAAGATCTAGTTTATTAACTCCACCAGAAAATGTCTGAGATGTGCCTGTCACACTTGCTGGAAGAATAAGCAGGTTATGCTTAAATGCTCTCATCCATTTTCTGCCATGGGGCAGTGGAGAGATGGAGGTATTCTTCAAGTAGTGCTTTTCCTTTCAGAGATAATGTAGTAGCACTAAAAGTCACCAAAGTGTGTGGCTGAAGTCCTGGGGGCAGTGTTGGGCACCACAATTTAAGACCTAAAACAATTAAGAGAGATTCCAAAGGAAGCTCTGGAGATGGTGAAGGATCAGGAAGGGCCATGGAGGGGGTGGCTGTGGGCACTCGCTGTGTTCAGCTGGAGCAGAGGACACTGAGGGCAATGCTCAGCAAGGGCTGCAGCTCCGACCTCTGCTCCCTGTGATGGAGGAGGTTACGGCTGGAGATCAGGGCAAGGCTCTTCCCCCAGAGGGTGCTGGCACTGCCCAGGCTGCCCAGGCAATGGGCACGGCCCCGAGGCTGCCAGAGCTCCAGGGATGCCCAGGCTGGGGCTGTTGGGGGCTCTGGGCAGGGCCTGGAGTGGACTGGATGTTTCCTGTGGCTCCCTCCCAACTCACAATTGTAATTTTCCTATAATTCTATCGAGTGCATCTACTTTTCTTTTTTACACTCTGGAGTTAGAAGAAGGCTCTTGTGTCCTTGGTGGGTGCCATGCTGTGACAATCTGACGTGCTCTAACCTCTGCTCTCCCATGCTGTCCCTCAGGTCCTGGCACAGGCGATCAAGGCTGCCAAGGAGCAGCACCCAGACATGTCGGTGACCAAAGTGGTTGTGCACCAGGAGACAGAGATTGCAGAGGAGTAATTGGGCTGTGTGAGTAGAGACATCACCTCGAGTGGGGGCAGGGGGTGGCTGATCTCAGTGCACAGGAGATTTGGGTAAATGGGATCAGAGTTGAAGTGAAATGATCATTGTTCTCTGCTGAGTCCTGCTCATACCTCTTCCTGTTAGATCCATGGAGGCTGATGAGGCAGTCACAGACACACTAATCCTGTGGAAATGAGCCCAAATGGGTTAAAAGCTACACAGCTCCTGCCATGAGGCTACTTTGCCTTCCCAAATATCCATGATGGGCTGGGAGCACATGGAACAGCTGTAGGTGCCACATAGACCCTTGCCCACATCAGTGCCCAGTAACCCTCAAGCTGGACCCCAAGCTTGCCTGGAAATCCCATTTTCTGCAAATTTTATAAGTTTGGGAAGGAGCTGCTGAAGGAGTCCAGGAGCTCTGGGTGTACCTCAGTGCTTTAAAGGCCATCCTGCCCCATGCCACTGATCACAGAATCCAGGAGTGGTTTGGGTTGGATGGGACTGTAAAGTTCATCCAGTCCCACCCCTGCCATGGGTAGGGACACCCTCCACTGTCCCAGGATGCTCCATACACTGTCCAGCCTGGCCTTGGACACATCCAGGGATCCAGGGGCAGCCACAGCTTCTCTGGGCATCCTGTGCCAGGATCTCACCACCCTCCCAGAGAAAAATTCCTTTCCAATATCCCATCTAACCCTGCTCTCTGGTATTCTTGTCCTGTTGCTCCAGACCCTTGTGCAGAGTCACTCTCCCGGAGCCCCATTAGGCACCTCTCACCTGCCTCTGGTGGTAACTCATCCGACTTCAATTCCCATCCACTTCAGGGAGGCATATTCCTGTCTTTTCCAGCATGCTGCTGTTGGTGCAACTTACCGTCTTCTCTCTTGCTAGGAAACGTTCCTGCCCATGACAACACCAGGAAAAAGAAACCCAGCAAAACTACCAAGAAACTACCTGGAGCACAAAGACCTCGGATTTCAGACTTGACACTCAGAGACATTCATATCATTTATTAAGAGTTGCGCTTTGACATTTTACTTGAGATTTTTCCAGAGTCCACTAGATCCTACTGGATATAGGGTTTTGTTTTGTTGGGTTTTTTTATATCTATCGCGACAGAAATATGCCATATTTCTAACTTCTAAAATATTTCTAGTATTTTTTACAGGTTTTCAGTTTTGCATTCCCTCTCACGCAAAGCCTCTTCAGACACAGAATCTCACCTCACAGGGCTCCAGGGCTCCCTGTTTTAACTCGTATTCCCTCTGCCAGGGATAACGGAGCTGTTCCGTGCGCGTTCCCGGTGCGGGCTCTGTGTGCGCCTTCACAAAGCCATGGGTCCTTCTTCCAGGAGAGTCAGTTTAAAGAGTCAGACTTTGTGCAGCATTTCCGATTGCCTCTAGATTATTTTTGTAGCTCTGGGGAGCTCCAGCCCCGCTGCAACCCCTGGGCTGCTCTGAGCTCCCTCGCCACTGGGTTCCAGCTCTGATGTGTGATCACAGTAGGGTTTTGTGGTGTAGCCTGTGCACACATCTGAGTAGTTGACTAGATTTAAGGAATACTGGAAGTTGCTTCAAGTATCTTATACTGTGAATTTTAGAGCTTTAAGAGGATAGCATCTCGCCTTCTTCCCGTGTGTCTCTGCTGAGTGCTCCCCACCTATTTGTGTTTTCTAGATGCCATTAAATTAAAAAGCCCTTAGAAGTGTGTGTTTAAGGTGTTTGGACTCGGGATGCTATTAAGGTAGGCTTGTGCAGCATTCACAGGAACTGAGCTTTTCAATGTCATAGTTTTTCACTTGTTTGTGTTCATGATTTTTAAATTACGGAGGGGTTTTTTGGTTTTTTTTGTAAGTCATGGGTTGGGTTTTTTTCCTCCCCTCACAGTGCTATTTAAAGCTGAACACGTTACGCATTTCTCAGAGCGTGTATGCTACTAGCATTTAATTTAAACTCCTTTAGACAATCCTTCCTAGGCCTGCAAGCTGTATTTGGAGAGGCTGAACAAGGAATTTTAGGAGGTGTCAGGTGTTGCTGATTGTGAAAGAGCCAAACCACATGGGAAGTGTTGACATTCCCTCTTCCACACTGGCCTGTGGGTCTGGATTTGCCTTCATGACCCCCTTGCTGGAATGAAGTATCAGGGTGATTGTCTGAATCTTGAGGCTGAGCTTACAGACCCCCAGGGCCATCTCCAGCACAGAGAGGGTGATGCAAAAACAATGATTTCAGGGGCTGGATGTGCTCCCATTTCTGCTCTCTAAGCTTCATGGGAATGTTCTTGCCTGGTTTGTCCTTCCACCATTTAAATTCAAGAAGCAAAAAACCAACCAAGCTCTGTAAAGAGTCTGCCCAGACACTTGTGAACACTTTAGTCCACTTGAGGTTGTGATTTTTTTTTTCTTGTATAAATATACATATACATATATATATATGTATATATAGTGTGGCACAGTGGTAGCTGAGGGCAAGGAGTGCTCTGCTCCTCAGGAGAGGATGGGAAAAAAATGACAATAAAGAGAAAAGCTCTCCAGTTTTAAATTTGAATCATGTATTTCAGAAGTCACTGGATTTAGCTCAGGCTGCAATGACTGCACTGTTTAGCTGCAGCCAGCCCTGGAACTACACTGGGGCTGGTGCAGCTTCTCAGCTTCAGGTGCAATTTTAATTAAGCTGTCAGTATTGATTGGAGACTCTGCTGGAGCTGCTGGATTTTGGCTCTCTTTGAGCTTTGCTGGCCCTGGTCCTGCTCAGCCTCCAGCCCTCCTGTGCCACAGCTGCCTCTGGGCCGCTCTGGTGCAGGTTTCCCTCCTGGGACACTCTGCCTCCCTCGGGGCATCCTGCTCTGGGGATTGAGGGAGTCCTGGGCTCTGGTGCAGAGATTAAGTCTTCCTATCCATGTCTGAAAAGCCCTTCCTTGTTCTGCCACGCAGGCCCTGGCCGAGGCTCTGCTGTCCTCAGCTGAGTTGGGTCATGCTTGCCTTAAACACCCATCATGCTGAGCACCCTCTGCCACTGCCCTTTTTCTGGAAGTTGAGTCCTTTGCCACTCAATCCTTCCATCTCATTTGCAACAGACACCTGAAGAGTGAAGGGGCACATGGAGCAGTGGCTGAGAGGATTTCTGGGCTTTACCAGGCACAGCCAACATGATAAATGAAGTTTGTCCGTAGCACTTAAAGGCACTTGGCTGTCAGGAGAGTTTAGGGGAGTGTGGTCCATGGTGTTCCCTTGGGGTGTCCCGTGCCCTGAGCACGATGAGTGGGACAGAACACCCCAAGCAGGGATTTCTGGGTGAGGAGCCTGCTGGCAGGAGAGTTCCTTTCCAAAAGGATGTGCTCACTGTTGCTGCACGTGTCCCTTGTTAAAGGGCCTGTAGACTAGAACCCCATTTTTTTTTCCCTTGGATTTTGGGTGGCTGTTTTCCATTTTCACACTTCCCCCTGCTGAGTTCTTGCTTCTCCTGGAGTAATTCAGACAAGTCCTGGCCTCATGTGCCCTTTGCCATCTCCTGCTGTGTAACCTCAGGGGTCTCCAGCCCCGCTCCTGCCAACACAGTGCCCGAGCCAGGAGCCTGGGAAGAAGATGCAAGTTAAAAGCAGAAGAAGCTTCTCTCACCCTCAGCCAAGGCCATGGTGGGGCTGCCCACTTCCCTTCTACCTCTGGTGGGATTTAAAATCCTTGGCTCTGAGCATGCTGTGTCAGCTCTAGGGACAAACCAGCTAAGTAAGGTCTATTTATATGAATGTTCCCAGCTCTTCCCACTCCACAAATTCACCTAGAGACTGTCTTGATTGTATAATATGCATTATATGGAAGCTATTTATATATGAATGAATGTTTTTATAGAAAGGAAGGCAAGGAGCTCTTGTTCTTCTCCATTAGATTGGAATGGCAGCTCCAGTTGCCCAATAGGAGTCCCTGACCAACAGAGATGTGTTAGCAAAGGACTGACTGATTTCTGATTTTAATAAACTGTGGTTTGCTGATTTTCCTAATTGTACAATTACCTTAAGAGGTGGTAGTGTCCCAGCCTTAGAGATGTAACTTGTAAAAAACAAAACAAAAAAAATTATTTAGTTGAGAAGATGAAGGAGCTTTGTAAAAATTTTTTAAGGCAATTGTGAATTGTCTAGGTTAGGCATTTACAACTCTTTATAAAAATAGGAACTTTTAAAGTTGGCAAAACTTTCTAGATCAACTAGTGATGGGAGTTGTTATTTTGGATTTTCATAGTGAATCAAAGGGAAAGTTGCCATAGTGTTTAGGCAGACCTAAGTGTTCAGTATTGCTTCTTGTACTGCATTTTTCAATAAATCTTCAAACAAAATTCTCTCCCTAGTGTTGAATTCTCTTCCTCCTTCTCATCTTCCTCCAGGTCTCTCTCCTTACCCTGGCTTTGTGGTGACTTGGTTTTACCAGTCCAAACCAAAGCCCCCAGATGTGGCTACAATGGTGCCAAAGCTCTCCCAGCCCTGGGCCAGCATTTCCCTGGGCTCTTGGTGCCTTCAGACCCTTTAAACAGTTCCCATTGTGGTCACATATAGGACCAAAGCCCCCAGAAAGGCCAAAAGCAATTCCCAGAGTTCAAATTTGCCCCAAAGAAGCATCACTTGATGTAAAACCTTCGTTTGAGCTGTGAAATTTGTGGTGAGACCAGGTGAGGTCTGTGCTCAGCAGCTACTGCCCAACCCTAAGTAAGTGTGACTCAGCTAGAGTGGGGGGAAGTGTCAAATCCATCGATATTTTGGTTCTATCTGATTTTTTTTCTGGCTGCAGCAGCTTTAGGAGAGACAGAAATAAGGCACAAAAAGCTGACAGGGCATCTTGGCTGCAGGCCTGACAGAGAACAAGAGCCAGATGGCCCAGTCAGGGCAGTTGGAGACTGGAAATTGGCTGGGAAGAGCTTCCCGGGGCAGGGGCAGCCCAGGCCTGGCTGGGGTGCCTCGGTTTCCCTAACAGGCAGAAAGAGAAGGGTGGCACGTGGCATGTCCTGCTAAAAGCTCTGAATTCCCATTGCCTCAGACACAGCCAGCATAGTTTCCACCCTGATCCCGGACAGTTTGCTTCCAAGTACTAAATCTCAGTGTCCTGTAAAGCCAGAATTAGCAAGGAGCTGACCCTGGGGAGCTGGAACCTGCCACCCCTGGAGCTGCTTTCCTGTAGGAGCCACCATGGCTCACTCACAGCTCACAGCAGAGCCAGGCCCCGCTATCCCCCAGCTCCTGCCCTGCCCAGCCCAGCAGGGTCAGGCTGCACACAGCCCTGTTCAGGGAGCTGGGGACATCCCAGGACCTCCAGATAATGCACTGGTGTGAGGGGCCATGGCTGGGGATGAACCACAGCCCCAAAAACATCACATCTGCAGACAACCAGCCAAGAAATGGCTTTGTCCCTTTGCTTAGCTGCACTTTGGGATGTCAGCCCCTGCTCAATGGCCAAGACATCATCACCTGCTCCCACTTTTGGCCCTGTTAAGCATCACCTGGGGACCAGCTCCAAGCTCTGTCAAGCTCCTGTGGGGCCCAGTCTGTCCCACAGCTACCAACTCCAACAACAGTATGGGATTGTGCTGGACTCCACCAGTGTGTCCTGGCAGAAACACCATCATCAGCCTTGGGACTCCCACAGGGAGGGGACTTGGGCCTGATGGTTCCCATGGGGCTTCTGGCACATCCCTGTCCTGGACACTGCAGGGACGTCAGTGGCACCAGGGATATGGTGCCATATTGCCCATCCACCCAAACCATTGTGCTTTGCTGGGCAGGAGTGTTGCCATCACTAGTGAAGGGACACCCCAGCACAGGTGACGCTGGAACCCCATCCAAAATGCCCAGGGGGAAAGTGTCCTCAGCTCATTTCCCCAGGGTACAAGTGCAGGGGCAGCAAACACCCACCTCGATGCTCAGCAGTCTGGGGCCATCCCAGGAGACTGGAAAGGCTGTTCCTTAAAGCTCCCCAAAGCCCCTCTGGGTGAGTGTCCCAAACCCAGGTGCCTTTACCCACCTCAGCCAGAGCAGGAGGGGGCGTGCTTATGTTGCCTGTGGCATTTTGCCTGGCTACAAGCTAGGCAAAAAAATATCATGGCAATCCAGATGCAAATAAATGAAACCCCCACCCCTCGTCCCAGCTGCGCAGGGAGGAGGCAGCAGCTCCTGGCAGACCCATCCCAGCCCCAGATCCCACACCAAAGGCAATGACTGCCTTGGAGATCCCATCCTTTGGGAAGAAGCCACAAAAGTGGCTTTCCTTCATCACCCATGCCTGGTCCTTCCTCATGTCTCCATCCCAGAACTCAACCTGGAGAAGCAGCTGTCACATCAGGAGGAGAGAGTTCCCATTAAGTCACCAGCTTATTCCAGCCCAAGCGCTTTTCAGGCTGCTCCTCCTGGTGTTGGGGCTCAGCAGCCAGTCGTGTTCCTGGAGGATCAGGGCTGCTCTCAGGGCTCCAGGGGGAATTGCTGTGGGAGCCAGGCAGCAGCGGGTGACTCCATCCCTTCCACCAGGGTCTGAGATAAACAGGATTGAAAGGGAGGAATTGTGTTGGCAATGGGCCAGGTTGGACATGCTGAGCTCAGCTCTGCGCTCCATCACTGGGGAAACTGAGGCATAAAAGAATAGCCAAAACCAGGTGGGGAATCGCCTCAGGTCCTGCAGTGGCTGGATCAATGGCCTTGGATTCATCCCTACTCCATCCCAACCACCCAAAGAAGCACCAGCGCAGACTCCTGCAGATTCATGGGCATCTTTTGCTTTTTGCCACCAGTACGGACAGTGATCCCTGATGGGCTCCAAGCCAAAGCCTCAGAGGTTTGGGCTCCAGCCCCATGCCAGCACTCAGCTGTCGGGACACATCACACAGATGTTGACAACACTGAGGGAACTTTGGCTTTTGACCCAGGACCAGCCCCAGGGCAATCCATCCCACATTGCTCAGCCCATTTCTACAGTAGGATTAATGTGCAGAGCCTTGGGTGCCAGAGAATCCATACAGGACACCCCCAAACCCACAGGAAAAAAAAATTAAAAATAATTAAGCAACTACTCCCAACCCCAGCCCAGCTCCAGCCCCATTCCAGCTGCCCTGGGTGCTGGGAAGCACTAGGATGGGTGCCTTTGGCTCAGTGCTGGCTCACTAATGCAGAGAGGCATTTTGTATCACACTCTTGCCTTTTTTAAAATAGAAATCAGTCCCCTGCCCAAAGGGGAGCACAGCTGCACCCATCACAGCGCTGCTCTGTAGCCACGGAGGGCAGAAGCCACACTCACCCAGCACAGGTCACACCGTCCCCTCTGTGTCACCTCCCCACACCTCGGCAGGAGATTGATGGCCAGGATCTCTCACTGCTGGCTGCACTGCCAGTGTGTGCTGGGAGCCGAGCCCTCGCCTTCCCACAGACCTTAAATCTTAACAAGGGCACTCTGGCCAAGCAGATTCATGGCTGTGACCGGCCCCACTGCGGGAAGAGGAGGAGCAGGAGAAGAGAAAGAGCTGAAACCAGCCAACGGCTGAGCAGTTTCAGGGAGTGATTGTCCCCAGCCGCGGTTGTTGTGCTCCCTGGGGACAGAAGTATCCCCAGCAGCAAATCTGGAGACTCACTGGCACTGTGGTAGTGGTTCCCTCAATCCATTTTCCCCATTTTATCAAATTTTGGCCCAAACTAAGCTGTCCTGTAGCCAGGCACCAGCAGAGAGGTCTCTTGGTGGTGGGGGATAACTGCAATTTCCCTTGGTCTCTCCAGCCTCCATCCTCTGGTCCAAGGGACCCCCAGGGTCAGTCCTCGTCAGCCTGGACATGCTGGTGTTGGGAACAATCCCCCAGTTTTCTTTGCTGGTGTTTACGATGAAATTCCCCTCCTGTTGGTAGGAATCTCCTCCTGCAGTGGGCACCTCCCGGGGTGGGATACCCTAGGGGTGACAACAGCGGGATATTTAGTCCATAGCATATCCAGCCTGTTCCTGAGCAGGACAGAAGGTGCCTCCGAGCACTGCCCTTCACAGGCTGTGCAGTGTGGGATCTCTGGGGCTTCCAGGATTGTTCCACTTCACAACTCTGCAGCCAAACAGTCAATGGAGGGATCCATCCAGGGTGTACATTTTTACTTTTACTTTCTGTTTCTAACCTCACCCTGCCCAGGTCACTCCCAGGCAACTGTGAAGACAGCACACATGGCATCCATCCACTGAAACCAGCACTGCTAATATCCCACAAATACTCTGGGAACAGTGCCCATGGACAGAGCTGAAGGTGAGGGATGCACAGATGTTGCTCTTCCCTGGAGAAGGCACAAGGTTTCTCACCCTGCCAGATTGATTGACCAAACTGCTTTGCATTTTGAAACGATCCCTGTGTGACTCAGAAATGCCTCCCCTGGAGGATGCTGCTGAGCTGGGAAGGAGGATGGGGCAGGAGGAGGATGGGGCAGGAGGATGATGCTGGTGCAGGTACATGGTCCATGCAGGTTGCCCTGTGGTCCAGCCATTTCCAACAGTTAGACTGAGCCTCAGCCAGAAAATGAAGGGGAAAAATTAAAACAAACACCCCCAGTAGCTTCTCACGCGGCTCCTTGTGGCATTTTGGGCTCCAATTTCTTGCTGCCAGTTCCCAAAGCCCAGCATTAGCTCTGGCTGCAGATGGTTAAGCCCAAGTAAAAGTTATTTTTGGACAAAAACAACCCTCTGGCACTTCCTCTGTGATGCTGCTCCAGGGCAGACCCCAATGGTGACTTTTTCTCGTTGCTGTTTATTGCATTGAATCAGAGCCTAAATAATGTTGAGATTAAGCAGCCAAATAAATAGCTGAGCTTGGGCTGGTATCACTCCCAGAGAATCCTCTGGGATGCAGCTGGGCCCAAACTGCAGCTGTGGGTCCCATCTCTGGTCCCTGCACAGGGGAAGTTGTACCCAAGCTCTCTGGGAGGGCTGGCACTGCAAACAGAGACAGCTTTTCCCTGAAAAGCAGAACCACCCCCATCAAAGCATTGTGGGGGGCTGCTTTTTGGGAGATGAGGGAGCTGGGGTAGAAAAAGCAATTTCCAAGTTATTTTACTGGGATGTTTTGATCTGGAGAAGGATGTTGCTCCCAAAGTTGCAAGGTCTGACACTCTGTGTTCACTTCAGACCAGAGAGGGAGAAGCAGGGACAGGAATAACCCCCCCCCACCCCCTGCCCCCAAACATGTCATACAGATAAAAGAGATTTCAGTCATCCCAAGAGGCCCTGGTTTCGGGAAGGCAAAAGGCAAAGATCCCATCTAGGCTGCCACAGCCATTTTGAAGCCTCCCGAGCTGCTGGAGAGCAGAGCTGTCCCAGTCCTT